GAGAATGGTGTACAGATAAAATAGCATGGAACATTAATGCACGCTTTCACTTAAGTCTTTCTGAATTATCCTGCTGAGAAGAAGCATCAAGCAATGCCAAATAACCTACTCAGACAAAATACATGTTGCAATTTAGCCATTATTTCTCTTCACTGAGCTATTAACAGCATGGGGCGACCTACTTAGCTTCAGAATGCCGCAGGACACTGAGAATTGATGAGATTATATTGATTTATCATCACCGGCACAAACAATATGAAGCAACCTGTGATTAACAACTCAATCCTTATTATTCATTTTAATCATATACTGTGCATAAATGAAACTATAGTAATTGTTCAGTGATTAGGGAGACAAAAAAAGGGCTTTTAATGGACAAACTCACAGCTGGAAAATGTCACAATCAGCCTCTGTTGTCATACTTAAACTGATTAGAGCCAATCTGTTAACTAAACAAGCCGATTATGACCATAAACACAGAAACTAATTTTGGGGTCTACAACCAATGTAATGGAACTGGACCTCCTCCTTTCTTCTCTAGACACTTCCAAATGGAGTCAGGAGACCCTAATGAATGGGATGAACACTTATGTATGGTATGGAGGATGGCCTTCCAGAAATAATAAAAAAATCACAGAATCATAGAGTTGGAAGAGACCTTGTGGGCCATCCAGTCCAACCCTCTGCCAAGAAGCAGGAAAATCACATTTAAAGCACCCCTGAAAGATGGCCATCCAGCATCTGCTTAAAAGCCTCCAAAGGAGGAGCCTTCACAACACTCAGGGGCGGCGAGTTCCACTGCTGAACAGTTTTCATGGTCAGGAAGTTCTTCCTAATGTCCAGGTGGAATCTCCTTTCCTGTAGTTTGAAGCCATTGTTCTGTGTCCTAGTCTCCAGGGCAGCTTGCTCCCTCCTCCCTATGATTTCCCCTCACATATTTATACATGGTGATCATGCAGAACTACTATGTGTTTTAGTTTGCTTTTACTGCACACAATTTATATTGTAAAGTGCATTAAGATTCAGGTTCAGGTTATTTACAGGACTGTATTCACTCCATTGAACCTGCATGAGTTTTGAGATCTTTTGAAGAGACCTTTTTTCTGTCTCATCATCCTCACAAGTACAACTCTTCTGAGGTCCTTCACAGGAGTTGCTCACAGGATCTGGTAGCCCTTCTGAGTCAACTGATACATTAAGTAACATGGCTTTATACCGATGTACACTTCATGCGCAAGTTAAAACTTAAATGATGACACCAGACTAGGATGAAATTATAGTCGTAGTTATTACGTAGTTATGCAATTCAGGCCTAGATAAGTGGGTAGCTCCATTATGGCATTTTATTGATTTCATGGTTGTGCTTATACAGAATTTAATGTGTATGACAAACAGCTAAAACAATATATTTTAATTTTAATATTGTGTAACACAACAAAAGCAAAGGTTTCTTTCATTCAGCCTACCTATATCAGTAGAGCCACAAAGTATATCTTGACTTTCTAAGCTGCCTGGAGATATCAACACTGAAAGTACTTGGAAAATGTGTCCTTTTCCTTGCTTCTGCCAAGATCTTTATAGTATTCTGAGAGATACTACTCCATAGGATGACAGGTGAAAGATCCAGCCTTTGGTGCCTTGTTTTGTCGAGCTGCTGTATATGTAATGGTCAAAATTTCACATAATTGTTTCTCTGGAGAGAATTGCTTAAAGATTGAACAAGTGATATACATTCTGCCTGGTGTCTTCAGATTCCTATGGTTTGGGCTTGAAATAGCATTCATAGGGTGGGGGTCAACTTGCTTAGAGAAATATTTGAATCTCCTTCACAGACAATGTATATAATAGCACATGGTATTGTCTTTTCTGCAGTACACTGCCTGAAACTGGAGGTGGCAGACTGAGCAACTGAAAGCACTGCCACATAAAACACCCTGTTTAGGTAGCTGCTTTTTAAATTTACCCTGCTGAACATGCCAGCTTTCTATATGCAAGGAGTGTTTCAGCATGCTTTCAAACAGCAACTACCCAATGTATTACTGGCTGGAAAAACACAATTCCAGAAAAAGCCTGCTCACATGATTTTCTCTCTGATCTGAATGAACAAGGCAGCCCTTAAGTCCATGATTATGGGGCAGGTGAGACTGTTGGATCTCAGTGCTAATGCCATTTTGTATCTAGCTATGACAGTGGTTGTGGTGTTGGAGGAAAATTCCGAGAGTGCCTTGAACTGCAAGAAGATCAAACCTGTCCATTGTACAGGAAATAAAGCACAACTGTTCACCGGAGGGAAGGATATTAGAGGCAAAGATGAAGTACTTTGGCCACATAATGATAAGACAAGAAAGCTTGGAGAAGACAATGATGCTGGGGGAAAATGGAAGGAAAATGAGGGGCTGACCAAGGACAAGATGGATGGATGATATCCTTGAAGTGACTAGCTTGACTTTAAAGGAACTGAGGGTGGCCATAGCTGACAGGTAGCTCTGGCATGGGCTGGTCCATGAAGTCAAAAAGAGTTGGAAGTGACTGAACAAATAACAAACAGGAACAAACTAAAGCAAAAGGAACTTGTAGCACCTAGAGGCTAACTGAGAGAATGAACTTGGTATCATAAGCTTTCATAGACTAAGTCTACTTCTGTATCCGAGGAAATAGATTTAATCTAGGAAAGTCTGTGCTACCAACTTTGATCTCTCAGTCCCTATGGTGCTATAAAATCTTTCTGCATACTCATATTCCAGACAAACAATAGCTAAGCAACCTTTCTTGATCTGACCTCCCTCCCCTAATCTGATAGAAAAATCAGTTGCTCACATTCCAATTGTCAATTAAATAGTTATCTCCATGCACACGATGTACAGTAAAATAGATTGCAGAGGACAGGGAAATTATGATAGTGGAAATAATGTCACAATTGTGACTAAGTAGCAATCTTGGCTACAAAACAGTTATGGATTGACTTCACAACTGCTACTTAATTATAATTGTGACATTATTGCCATACTTATAACTGCTCTCTCCTACTGTATCAGGCATCAGCTGCATGTGAAGAATGAGACCTATTCCACTTGCGACTGGAACAAAGACAAGTTTCTATCAGGTTTGGGAGGGATTGGGCCAGGAGAGGTAGCTGAAACAGGATTCCGGCTAACCTTGTTACCAAGACTATTATTAACAGCTCCTGATCTTCTCGGTTGTTCTGTGCCTTTAAAGAAGAGTTCTCAACCTGTGGACTCCTAGATATTTTGGCCTTCCAGAAATCCTAAGAGCTGGTAAACTTGCTGGGATTTCTGGGAGTTGTAGGCCAAAATGCCTGGGGACCCACAGTTTGAGAACCACTGCTTTAAAGAAAACCGTGGTCCTCATTTATAGAGATATAAACAATGCTTATCTCCAGATATCACTAGCTTGCATATATTTCCTCACCATTGAGTATCCAGCTCAGGCTGCTGGGATTTGTAGTCTATATCTGGAAGGTGGCAAGATTCCTATCCCTTGTTTAAATGTCAGCTGCAATAGACCCAACAAATTAATAGTAATCTGGTAAGACAACACATATGTCATTATCCAACAGGTCTAATAGTTCCATTTAATAGAATGCAGACCACTAAATAATAGGTAGGTACCTCCTTTAATTCCACACATATTGGCTAAACAAGTCAACAAGGCCGATTGGCAAAGGTAAGTTCAAAAGATCTGGAAAGCCATGTTTGCCTACTACCCTTGATTTAAAGCTGTAAACACAAAGTACTGTGAGAGGGTCAGATCAGGAGGTTGTGTTTCTTGACTAAACTAGAATGTCTTTGAAGGAAAGCTTTGAACCTACTTTGAAAATCGCTGTAGATTCTCACCTTCACACCCACAAAAGAGACACAAATATGCAGCTTTTTCAATACTAAGGCTGAATCAGTGTAAAATACTTCACAAGATGTGCTTGATCCCAATACCATCTTGCCCTAAAAATATTACACATGTCAAAATCATATTTTTAGATATCTGTATGAAGCCAAAGTCAAATCCACACATAAATCATACCAAACAAATCCTTGTTACTGATGGGACAATATTAATGGTTTCAAGCAGTGACATGGTATTTTGAGATTTATTTTGTCTATCTTCTTTTCTTGAAACTATGTTCTTTGGCTAATTTAAAGCTATCCTTGTTAAGTCGTGGCTCTCTGAAGCGCTCTTTTCTGTTTCCATTTGTGCTCAGTGCTTTAAGACTTTGTGGTTTTGATGGTTCCAAGTTAAACGATTTCATGAAAACCCTCAAAACATTCTTCTTTCCAACATTCACATATAAAAACTCTGCAATTACAAACAGTTGTTTTTAAGTAGTCCCAGCTATTTCTGAACTCAGATCTCCTTAATTCAATTCTGTTTGATGATATCCAGAGCATTTTCCCAGGCTTTGGAATAAGCCTGATTTTCTGATTTTTTTTCACATGACAGCCATCATCTGCTTCTCCATTCGTGTTTCCATGGGCAGGATGCCAATAACTTTGCCTGCTGAGGAGCAATCCTATTGAAAGCAGATCCCCCTTCAGATCTGCTTTACATTTGAAATATTTTTCCTTAGTCACCTGCAGTTTTAAACTGTGATGCTCTATCATATTCTTCAATCTTCTGCTTGTCGATCTCAGGAGTTTGTCAGCTCAAGTTCACACAGTTGAACCACTTTGAGTTAAACTAGATAATATGCTGAGTATGTTTTTTTTTTTTAGAAGAGATGGTCCAGAAGATATCTTTTGGTCACAGCACATAGTTGTCTTTACCTATGGCTCTTTCACATAATGTACTTTGTTTTGTGACTTGTCATGGAAGGTAAGCATGGGCATGTTGTGGCAGAGTGACATATTTCTGATTAAATCCCATTGTTGGAGGGAAAAACCAGCATTCTTCTGAACATCTGGTCTGACTGTCATCTAGCAGATAAAGGCACAGACGTAGTATGTTACTGCAAAACACCGCACCAGCAATCCTTGGGACTCTGTATGTTTGCCTCTGAAAACACTGGCTTTATTTGGTGCTAGATTTATCACAGCAAGCAGTCTCTGTAGTGAATATCAGTCTCCATATTTCTCAATGTCCAAAGGCAACACTGTTCTTTCATTATTTATATGTACACACACATTAAAAAAATTACAGACAACACAAACAAATGAAAAAAAGGTGCCAAATATGATAATCTTGAAGGTACTGGCCATTAATCAAAGCTAAGTAATTATGTACAACTTCCTGAGCCAAGAGGCTTCCAAAACAGTCCTGGAAACTCTCCCTTTCCATACCATCATATAAAACTGGACCTGCGAACTGCAAATCTGTTCTTTCTTATATGAAATATTGAAAATATACAACTATGATACAACGGTACACATAAAAACGTTCATATTGCGCTTCCAAATGCTGTGCAAAAATATATGTCTCTCATATTTAAAATACAGCAGTGGCAAATTATACACCTATTTCATACAGTGTCTAGCAAAATGCTAAGTATTCCCAAATTATTATATATAAATATCTTTTTTTGTAAACCAGCACTTCTGAATGAAGGGCTATCTCAGTTCCTCTTTGGCTGATTATTTTCCCCATTGATCAAGTTATTTTCCTGCTGCTCAGCTAAAGCTTGCCACTTCTGCCTGTTCTTTCTGCAGCCTTCCAGCAAAGGATAGCAGGCTTCCGATATGTGTGTCAGTGCCTGAAAATAGAAAAGAATTCAGACCAATAAACATTGAATGGAAGCAGGAAGACTCCTCTTATTTAGAGTTTAAGAAGAAATATATTGGTACGAGGCGCCTTGGTGATACTAATAGTAAACCCAGAAAAGATTGCATGCTTCTCATAGAGGGCTGTTTTATGCAACAACAGCACCATCACTGCCATACATCTGGACTCATTCAATTTTGATAGATAAGAATGATTTCATCAAGTCTCTAAGCACCAGGGAGACAACAATGGAGAGAATGGAGGAATAACAAGAATATAACAAGATTGATGAGTAAGGCTTGGAAAGAATTTGAACCTTGGAGAGTCACCACCATTCAGAAATAACAAAACTGCGCTAGAAGATACAAGAGTTTGACTCAGTATGGCTGAGGTCCTACATAACTTTGAATAACTTTGAAAGTGGAGTTACATAGCTTCCCATTGCCAAACAGCTGTCAGCCCTGGAAGGAGGCCCTGTTGATGTTGCTTACTGGTTAGGGAGGAAGGGAGGCAGTGCCAATTCAAGCTACCTTCTGCAATTCAGTGGAGCTCCCCTGTCACAGGGCGGGAGCAGACAAGTGTTTGACTATATCCCCATAATTTGTGGCACAATGCTTACATCATCTGCTACACTCTGCCATGCAGGATCCCAGCCTAAGCCATCTAGATGTTCATAGACTGAAACCTCACCATTGGTTATGATGGTCAGGACAGTCTAACAACATCTGTCAGGGAGACACAATCTGCCCAGGCCTACATGAAGGATTTCAAGCCTTCATCTTGCAATCCTGAATTTATATCTCACATAGTTTCATCTCTTCTACATGGACCTTAGACCTTTTGAGTAGTATGTGTAGTTTTGAATTTAGTACTTCCAGACAGGGGCAGCCTACAAGTAGCCCACAGACTACATGTGCAGCCAAGTCTATATTTGTGGTCCCAAGATGCCTCCATGTTTTGAGTGAAACCAAACTCACAGCTAATTTGGGTACAAATAGTGGTGAGTCCCAAGAGAAGGGGAACTGGCTCTGGAACTTGATTTTGGAACATTACCAAATATGCAGGATAAAATAGTCATAAACCCTCCTATCATTCCATATACCTTACCTCATAAAGCTGTAAGCAGATGGCATCAATGAATCCAACTTGCATGCTGGGGATTTTGTTTTTCTTCTCGCGATTCATTAAATCCTAAAAATCACATAAAACCCACTTTGAAGTGATATCAACAATGCACTTGCCAAAATGTGGCCCAGTTCAGTAACTTGGGTCAAAGGGGCATGCTAAAACAATACAGCATCAAATAATAGTCACAGTTCTCAGAGAGTGCAGCCCAGACTAGTCTAGCTTCACATTCCAGTTCAGCCCTAGCACCCCTCAAGCAATCCACAACTCTCCGCTTTAACTCCTCCATCAGTAAAATGGTAAATTTAAATTATCTATCCTAGAGGTGGGAATTATGTAACCATCCAGATGTTTGGGAGCTGTCTTTTCACAGCCCTAATCAGCACAGCCAATGGTGAGGAATGGCAGCTTAGCAACATCTGGAAGGCCAGAGAATTCTCAGACTTGATCTCTCCCATGGGTTTGTCACATAAAGCTGCAAATACTGTTAAGTGGAACCACTAAAATAAGTGATTTTAAGGTCACATGAACAAAGTTCTGTAAATACAAAAAATACCACATATGTAAAAAGCTGAAAAATTCTATACTTTTCTTTGAGATCTTGTTCATACAAGAAGCAGAGAAAGCTCACAGTGATGTGGTGAAAGCAAAAACTAGTTATGTGGTGAGTACTCTTCCAGCCAATCCTTCTGCGATGCCAGAAAAACATGAGAAATTGTTGACAACTTCCATTATCTTGGCAGCCACCTCTCCACAAAAGCCAACATTAACTTACTTACTTACTTACTTAGGCGATCCCTCGTTGGACGAGTAAGATGGTCTTCCATTATGGGTTTCCTTGTGGGTCCGCATGTGGCTGTGGAGCCCTATTCTTGCTCTGCATCTTCTTCCGCAGTGAGGGCATTGGTTTCCAGGTGGAAGGCGGTCCCGGTCGGGGTTGGCTTGACGCGCCTTCCTCCTGGCACGTTTCTCTCTTTCACCCTCCCATTCGTGCCTCCTCAAATTCTGCAGCACTGCTGGTCACAGCTGTCCTCCAGCTGGAGCGCTCAAGGGCCAGGGCTTCCCAGTTCTCAGTGTCTATGCCAGAGTTTTTAAGGTTGGCTTTGAGCCCATCTTTAAATCTCTTTTCCTGTCCACCAACGTTCCGTTTTCCGTTCTTAAGTTCGGAGTAGAGCAACTGCTTTGGGAGACGGTGGTCAGGCATCCGAACAACGTGGCCGGCCCAGCGGAGTTGATGTTGGAGGACCATCGCTTCAATGCTGGTGGTCTTTGCTTCTTCCAGCACACTGACATTTGTCCGCTTGTCTTCCCAAGAGATTTGCAGGATTTTCCGGAGGCAGCGCTGATGGAATCGTTCCAGGAGCTGCATGTGACGTCTGTAGACAGTCCACGTCTCACAGGCATAGAGCAGGGTTGGGAGGACAATAGCTTTATAAACAAGCACCTTGGTATCCCTACGGATGTCCCTCCTCAAACACTCTCTGCTTCATTTGGAAAAATGCTGCACTCGCAGAGCTCAGGCGGTGTTGCATTTTGGTGTCAATGTTGACTTTGTTGGAGAGGTGGCTGCCAAGGTAGCAGAAATGGTCAACATTTTCTAATGTTACACCATTAAGCTGTATCTCTGGCATTGGAAACGGGTTGGCTGGTGACTGCTGGAACAGCACTTTGGTTTTCTCGATGTTCAATGACAGGCCGAGCTTCTCGTATGCTTCTGCAAAGGTGTTTAAAATGGCTTGTAGATCTTCTTCTGAATGCGCACAGACAACATTGTCATCAACATACTGGAGTTCTATAACAGATGTTGTTGTAACCTTGGTTTTGGCTTTCAGTCTGCTGAGGTTAAACAGCTTGCCATCTGTCCGATAGATGATTTCCACTCCGGTGGGAAGCTTCCCATCAACAAGGTGAAGTATCATAGCGATGAAGATGGAAAATAAGGTTGGGGCAATAACACATCCCTGTTTGACACCTGATTCCACCTTAAATGGGTCACTTTGGGAGCCACTGCTGTCCAAGACTGTTGCCATCATGTCATCATGGAGGAGCCGCAGGATGTTCACAAATTTGTTAGGGCACCCGATTTTGTGGAGGATGGTCCAGAGAGCGCTGCGATTCACTGTGTCGAATGCCTTTGCAAGGTCAATGAATGCCATGTACAGAGGTTGATTTTGTTCCCTGCATTTTTCTTGGAGCTGTCGTGCAGTGAAGATCATGTCCACTGTTCCTCTGGAGGGGCGGAAGCCATTCTGGGATTCTGGGAGGGTGTCTTCTGAGAGGGGTAGAAGGCGGTTTGCAAGGATTCTTGCGAGGATTTTCCCAGCGGAGGTTAGAAGGGAGATACCTCGATAGTTTCCGCAGTCTGTTCTTTCCCCTTTTTTGAAGAGGGTGATGATGGTGGCATCCTTGAAGTCTGCTGGGATTTTCTCGGTCACCCACACTTTTTCTATGAGCTGGTGGCGTTGGTGTGTCAGCTCAGGTCCTCCCTCTTTAAAGATTTCAGCAGGGATCCCATCAGGTCCGCTGGCTTTGTTATTTTTTTGTTGGCTGATGGCATTGCTGACTTCTTCCAAACTAGGCAGTGCTGCAAGCTCATCCCTGGTTTGTTGTTGCAGGATTTGTGAGAGAACCTCTTCGGCCACATTGGAGCTGCGGTTCAGGAGGCTTTGGTAGTGTTCTTTCCAACGTAGTGCAATTGAGTTTTGGTCCTTCAGGAGATTGGTTCCATCTGATGAGCGTAGAGGCTGTATGCCATGGTTTCTTGGTCCGTAGATGACCTTTGTGGCTTTGAAAAATCCCTGAGCATCATG